ATAACCCTGATAAGCATTCATTATTTGAAAAATATAAGGTAATATACCATGTAGGATACAAAAAAAAGAAAAAAAACCTAAGGACATATTAAACACTAATGACGTTGTTGAAAAAATCTGTTACTTGTGTATATATCACATTTTTAATGATAGCGATGATAATCGATATGTTAGAAAAACAAAATTGAAGATCGAAAACTATGACAGATTTTTTTTTCTAACTCGTTAATCATCAATTGAGTTCGATTTTTATCTCCTGTCGGATACAATTACTAGCAGATTAGAAGAAAAGAACGAAAAAAAAGAACGCCAATAGCCGACTTTGTATATATTTATTCGTTAAAATATTAATAGAAATTGGCATATACATTCATACATACATGCATATACATATAAAATATTTCTTACTAATACTGAAATTCAAACATCGAAAAAGTATCTATCAAATATAAAGTAGTGACCTCTATCGTTTATGTCTCATCAATCAAATATTACTAATTTGAGTACTATTACATTCTACTAGTCTCATTTATTTTAGAACAAGACAAACGTATCATTCCATTCATCAATTTACGATTGACGAATACAAAAAGTAACAAAATTCTAAATACGAGAAGAATATCTGTAAGTATTATTTTTTGTCTATTGTTATTTTTATTTCGAACAATGTATAAGCACGCGTCGATGGATTAAGATATAAGTGCAATAGAAGATCAAAGAGATAGAAAAGTATTTGTGTTTATCCTAACTTAAAAGTTCATTTTAAAAATGAGTTTGAATATGTCTAATCGAATTGCAACGTGCATAAATAATTTTTGAGTATCTAAATGATATATTAAGTGGAATGTCATCAACCGAAACCGTACTTTTCGCTTGACCTATACTATTAAAAGTATATATGTATAGATGTATTGTTGAAGATGATACATTACGTGATTACGTAAAGAGAATCCTACTCAATCAATGAACAACACCAGATGTGTATGCGTTCGTCCAAGTGCATTGATTTATATTGCAATTAATTTCTTCAATCGATCAATCGTTGTCCAGATAATTTTAAACGATATTAGGCTTGTATGATGTGTGAGAATCTATCGCCAGCTTGTACTAGCATATCACCTTCACTGATTGTAAGACAAACGAGAGAAAAAAAAGTTATGACGTTATACTAATACTTGTGTATGTATGCATTTGTTCTTTCTTTACTGTTGATCGTTTGACTCTCGCTTTTTTTTTTTTGTTGGGCACTACAACAATTGCCACTGTTAATGTGACATACATCTATCTGTCTATCGTTTGGCGTTTTTTCTCTATCGCGTACATATATACATACATACGCACGATTTGTATCCTTCTTTTCTATCCTTCTTATTCATTCATTCATTTATTCATTCATATCGTCCTGAGCATTGTTGTCACATTTACATCTAACTTAATCATCCACGTAGTAGTTTTGTGATTCATTCATTTCTCATCTTAGATATTTATTACATTCGAAAAACATTTCTATTTTCATTCACGCAAACATTAAAGGTAAGATAATGTTTCACTTTTATATTTTTTTTTGTGGTTTTTTTTCCTCTTTCTTCCATCTATGTGCATAATATAATAGAAAATATTTTGTATTCACTCAAATCTTATCTTTGATAGAATAGAATGTTTATTTATTCAATAAAATAGACCTAAGAAAAAATGTGCATTAATAATGTTAGTGTTAGTAGTGAAAGAAAAGATATACAATATAGATTTGATATAACTGTATGTATATATATATATATATAGAATTGTGTAAGATCATCATCTTGTATGAACGTGATATGTATAAACTATGTATTGATTTTGCGGGTTAGATTAAGATTGTTGTTCATCTTTTACTCTCTATTCTAATGGGAAATATTATAATCGTTCTAATAGTTTCTTTTTTTGTTTTTGTTTCGAAAATTCTCTTGAGTATGTTCTTCGGCACTTTTATTCTCTTCTATGAAATTAGTCATCCATGATGAGTAAGTCGACATCTACGCATATATATTTTTTTAATGTGCCATCTGCAGTGTATTGTATGTCTTCGAAAACAATTATTTGAAAGAAAAATAAAAAGAGTGTGTATGTGTGTGTGTGTTTTTTTATTCCTTAGTTGACTATTTCACTGTAAACGAGTAAGTTGTGAAGGTTGTTTTTTTTCGATTCGAATAACTATTAATGTTTCTCTTGAAATGTCAGCTTTTTGCGAACAATATTCTTGTTATTTTTCCAGTTCCATTATTTTTTCTCTTTTTTAATCAGACAACATGACAAAAGAAAATGTCCGACGGGGTACCATCTGCGCATTCATTTTTTTTTTCTTAATATACACATGAGAAAAATGGATATAAACTGGTGATTTTAAGCGAACAACTGTCGAGATGAAACGAACGTGACATTTGTTAAAAATATAGAGAAGATATTTTAACAATTAAACAAGTCGAGCTGTGACCCATTCAAACATTTGTTGTCAAGGTCCAGAGGCGATATTTTTCCATGTCTGATTTTAATATGGCATAAAAATAATGGACATACTGTTCATTGTTAAGCAAGAGTAAAAAGAGAAGCAAAGTAATAAAAAAAAAAAAGAAAGCGTTTCTTTTAAAGTTCAAACGAAATGATCTTCTTTGAAAACAGAAATGAAGTGTTCAAATTTGAAGTATGATGACAATATCCTTTTGTTTCGAAGTTAGTTAGATATATATATATATACTTGACTTCGTCTTTTTTTTTTTATTTTGTTTTGTTCTTTTCATTTGATGACAACGCATAAAACGAATGAAATCTCCCATCATATCAATCTATATATACATATATATATGCCACTGATTGAAATGATCCCATTTTTTTTTTATATTGTTAAGAGCATCAACCGCACTTATTGACTTGACCATATCTATTGTAGAGTATTGCACTATAGGTTGTGAGAACAAAAAAATGCAACACAGGGGGTATCGACCAGGTGACCAGCAGTTGACCTTTGCCGCCAACAATCACCACATGCCTCTCTCTCTCTCTCTCTCTCTCTCTTTTGTGTACGCTTTCGTGTACAGTCTAATTGACTTCCGCAATGGGTGTATGTGCATGTGTGTCCACATAGGAGGGTGGGCAGATAGGGAAAAAAAGAGTAAAGATTAATCTTGTACATACGACCTCAATAGATTTAACGAGCAACCCGAAAAGCTAATCGAAATTCAATAAGACTGCTGAATGTACACAGAAGTTGTTTCTTTATGTTTTATCTTCCATAGTAGTAGAGAAGTAAGAATATTTCTTATGTCAGATTTTTTTTTTTTTGTTGATTGCTTACGTACATTTAACGACAGACATGTTCTCAGACAATTGATGGCAACACCTCACACACTAACGCTTACATATATAATCATATATACGCTTCCCTATAATAATGAGAATGAGAGAATATAAAAAAAAAAAAAAAAAAAAGAAACGAGAAATGTCAATTGTTTTATGTATTTTTATATGCTTACATCATCATGTCTATCACCATCATTGATGGTGTTTGATCTAAGGATGTTAGCATTGAAAAAGCTTGATATATTGACAAGAGACAGAAAAAAAAAGAAAAACCTCATTTGTCAATAAACTCTTTATCTATTCATTTATCTTGATGTGATATGTCTACGCATATAGAAGAATACAAATATAAAATTTGTTTATATTTCTTACTTTCAATCATATTCTCTAGTTTGTGGTATGAGAAAGATAAGCAACATGAGATACTTCTCTTATACAATTCTATTGATTGCGTCTGATACTTGAAATTCATTGGTTCTATAATATTCAATGTTTATATCTGAGACAAGGACGAATATATGCGCACATTTGTCAACACATAGACACTTGTCGTATTTGTTGCTTGCTTGTTATATGTCTACGCAGATGGTCATTATACATACATCAATAGATAAAATCAATCTCGTTTAACATTACAACTAAAAGAGTAATCATTCCAAAAGATGTTGTCTTCAATTTGCATAAGAACAATAACAACAACAATTAATTTTCTCCCCTGGTTTTTTTTCGGCATGCTTGGGTGTTCTCAAATTACTGTGAGCAAAATGTAAAAGCGCGTTCTTCGTCGCCAACTGCGAGCACCATGTAACTCAATCAGCAGAATTGATTATACCACATCATCATCATCGTTATTAAAGAAAATAAAAAACAAAATAATTATAGAAAAGAAAAAAAAACAAGGTGTATCAATTTTTTGCACCTATTTTACCTCGATTCCTTGATGAAAAATAAATGTCATTTCCTTTTCTTATTGTCAGTTCTTTCTTTCTTTCTTTTTCTATTCTAACTAGAGAAACTAGCATATTGCTGAACATCGAAGTAATGACAACGTTGTGTCCTCTCTTTTCTTTTCTATTTTTTACGCAGATATAAGTTAGTTATGGTAGTAGAATGTCTGCCGTACGAACTAAAAAAAATTGAGTACGAGCAAATGCCCGAGAAAAAAAAGTGATGATGTGTGAAACAAGAAGCGAGAAGAGAAAGAGTTCTCTTCTTCCGTTGCTTCATCTTTGTCGTCATCTTTCTTTTCTGTTTTTCGTCGCCATCGGTCGGTCGGTCGGTCGGTCGTTCGTTTGTTAATCGTCCTCTTCTTTTTTCTTTTTTAATAACGACAAAAAGAAAGAGAAGATTCCACTACTATTACAGCCGCTGCTAACTTTGACATTTGAAAATTGTTTTCCTCGTTTACTCGCTCTCTTGTGCTCACTATTATTCTTTTCATTTTTTTTTCTTCTCTTTTTTCTCATCAGCGCTTGACGAACGAGTTTTTTGCTCTCTTTCTCTCGTTCTCGGTGTAACGCAGAAAGAATAACGACTGCAATAAGGACTACTGCCACCTTTCTTTTCTTCGTTTTTTTCTTACTTGCTATTTATGTGTATACGTCTTATGATCGTCATTAGAAAAACATTTTTTTCTTAAATACATAAATTCATAAACACGCAAAATGGGCTGTTCAAATGCTCGTTTATTGGTACAAACATCATTATCTGAACCAAATGCTATAACAAATTTAAATACGAATAATCCTCTCAATCCATTACCAACAACAGTAACAACATCCAATGAAACATCACCAATTGGTATTGTTACTGATACAAATAATATAACAACACGAATGCATTTAACAGGAGTTGATCTTGTTGTTGAAAGAAATGGATCCTATACACTATTACTAACACCAAAAACTCATAAACAGTTAATGCCCTATGTATTGCGAAAGAAACGATTTCGGTAAGAAAATTAATGGTGATAAACTTGATTGCGTTTTTATTCATCCGATGAATGAATAAGAAGAAAAGTGAACTATATATATATATATCTATTGCGGTCTTCGCATATGCGTGCTCACACGCATAACGTATTGTTCGTCAATCAAATTAGAAGTTCGAGAGCTGAACAATACGCAAGGAAGAAGAGTGATTCGTGTGTAATGCTTCACATTTATTTCAAACTCACTCGATGCGCAAGCGCTTAGGCGTGTATGTGTGTCTATATACAAGGACCCACTCAAGAAGAAAATAGAGAGCAAAGTAATATAAAGAATGGATTGTGTGTTGTCAGGACTGAAATAGAATCGTTAGACAATGAATATTCTCACCACAGACGTATTGTCTTTCTCTCTTTTTTTTTAATTTCTTAAAGAATGAACACATGAGGCGTCTGGGCCACATAATCGTTATCAATCATATAAAAAAGATCTTCTTCTATATGATTGATATTGTCGCCTTACTCTATAAGTAGAAAAGCCTTTTGGCAAAAATAAAGAGAAACGCCGTTTCCTGACTCTTTTTTTTTTTATTCTCTGTTGCTGGTCAGCAATTGCATTGATTAGAATAAGTCTTTAGGCTTCGAAATCTACGTTTATATTTAAATCATGTTTGAATATTAAAAAAAAACCAGTGATTTCTGTTCGGAAAGAAAAGTAAAATTGACTATTTCCGGTAATAAGAGTATTGCTAAACGAATATATATATATATATATATAACCAGTATGATTTAATTTCATACAAAAGAGAATAGACCCTTCACATCACCACAAAGAGCAATTTGTTTTTCATAATTGATTCTTTATTTTAATATATATATATATATTTACTTTTTTTCATATGACAACAATAAAATATGTAGTTCTTTCTTTTGTAACCCTGATTTATTGATTGCTATATAAACACAGATGTCGCTAAAAAAGAGCATTCCATGAATAATATTCATTAAATTTCTATTAATACAAATATTCAAAATATTTAATGAAAAGGACAAAAAAAACCTATCTTATTTTCAATAAAAATTAAAATAATAATATTGCCTATCATTGGTTACAAATGAAATTTCTTTCACAAAGACACAATACAGAAGAAAGAGAAAGAAAGAACATTGGTACCGTCTATCATCAGACATTTGTCTAAAAGTACAAAAGAACAAAAGGTTATTTTTCTCTTTTTTTTTTCTTTTCTTTAGGATTCTCGTTGACAAATCTCGCTCGCAAGAAACATCTACTGTTAATGTACCATTATCATCTTATTATTTGACAAATAAAGAACGAATTATGGAAAATGATAAAGAATTAAAATTAAATGAAAAAAAATCTAAAAAACAAATAAACGATAATATGGAAACAACAATTGAAAATGTTCAACAAGTTGCAACAAATGAACTTGATAAAGCTAAAGCACGTTTTATTGGTGGTCGAAGTATTGATCGTGGTGATCCTGAAAATGAAAATATTCAATCAGATGATGAAGGTATGATTGAAGAAATTGTAACAACTGTTGAAGAAGATAAAGATCTTGAATGTAAAGTTAAAAAGAAAATTGAAACTAAAAAAACAATTGCAGAAGATCCTGAAACACATAATAAAATAACAAAAGTTGTTAAAACTGAAGTTACTGAAATAACACGTACAATAACAATTAATGATCAGCATGATCTTGAACGTGCTAAACGTGAATTAGGTATCGATGATGTTAGTAAATTATTATCATCAACACAAATAAGATATAATACCCCAACATCGTCATCATGGATTGATCAACCACGTTTAATACATGTACAAGAAAAATATTATGAACCATCAAATGAAATAGTTACATCAGGTGATTTTCCATCTGATAGTCCAATAAAACAACATTCACCTACAATTAATCATAATGAACAAGAATCTAAACAAGACCAAACATTAGCTGATGCAACAACTGTTGGACGTGGTCCTGTTACTGAAACATTATCGTCATCTTCTTCTCAACCAATATCATCACAACAACAACGACCAACAACAACAAATGATAAATCAAAACAAATTGAAGTAAAACAAAAGAAAAAGAAATCAAGTCTTAATTTATGTTCATGTGCACGTAATACAACAAATGATCATGATGAAGAACAACGTAAACAAAAAGCAGCAACTATAGTTGAACAAAAATCTAAACAAAAAAAGAAAGCATCAAGTACAACAACACAACCAATACTTACATCAACAAATATTGAAAATGAATCTCAAAATCAAGGTCAAAAGTTAATATCCGATGATATTAAAAAATTAATTAAAGATAAAAAATCTTTATTAATTAATTATATACATTTAAAAATTTTTTTACCATCAAAATTATTTACAACAAATGAACAAGATTTAAAAGGAAGAAAAATTTCATCACGTATTCTTGATTTATTACAACATGATCGTTGTTCATCATGGAATAATTTATTTGAACAATTAAAAAATGAATATTCAGAACAATTATCACCAAATTTATTTATTCAACCAATGGTTAAAACATATGAAGATTTATTTACAACAAAACAATCAAATTTATTAAATACATTTTCAACAATACATAATGAAAAAGATATTAAAAATTCATCAGAAAATAGTGATTATATAACAATTGTACAAACACATATTAATGAACGAGATCATCAACCAAATATTAGTGTTATTACTAAACCAATTGAAGATACACTTCAACGTTTACAACATCATGGTCAATCTGATGAAAAAGGTTAATATATAAACGTTACTTTTCTTGCTTCTATATCTGGACTTTTTTGATGGATAGATCATTGTCATATATTTATATATTAGCCTTAGCGTTAAGAGTTGATTTTTTGTATCTTAGCATAACATCATCTCTATATCAAAAGACGATCTTTCTATAAGCATTTTTTTTTGCTTATTATATAGATAAATCACAGAAGAAGGAGAAAGAGAAGAGAAAAAAAAGAAAGAGATAATCGCTATAAGCTCTACCTAACGGATTTTTTTTTCTTTTATTATTTGCGATTGCATCATGATGCCTCATTGAATATTTAGTTGACTGATTGCCATTACTGACGGTTAATAGTCTTACTATTTTTCCTTTCGCAAATAGAAAGAGAAGGAACATAAAAAAAAAGGTTACCATTATACAAGAACATTCGGTCATCTTAATTATGTTGAATACTAACACCAATGATGATCATCATCATCATAAATTAATAACATCACGAGGTAAAAAAACAATCAGCACTAAGAGAATAGAAGAGAAGAAAAAAAACGAAAGGATTTTTTTTTTTGTATACATTCACTTTGACAAACGAGTGAGAGGTCATGCCTTAGTTCGAACCGATGATTGGACAAACAATAGACACACACACACACATTGGTGACATAGGCATCTAGACATAGGTGTTTGTTTAAGGACAAATGAATAGAAAAAAAAAAGTGATCGTTCATCGACAGTTCAATATATCGATACTATGAGATTTCGTCGGTACGTTTTGTCTAAGTGCCATTGGATGCCGCCGGGACGTTATTCTGATTCTTCTGGTAAGTTTTAATCGACTCGAACTACACACAACAAAAAAAACTAAAAAGAAACAAGTTCAACCATTTTATTCTTGAGCATTCGATTGCTTGTGAATAATCATCCTTTACTATACTATCCTATTGATCCTTGTTCATCATCCTATTACTCATATATGTCAATATTCAACGTAGGAACGAATATATGATGTATTTATACACATATATAAAAAAGTGAATGTAGTACATTATACAGTGCAAATATATATATATATATTCAAGATTAGATAATAGTCCTACATATTCTCTGTTTTTTTTTTCATTTCTTTGTTGTAACTGTTCGTCTATTATTGTTGATATAACATCCATTAATCGAATATTGTTTAAGTTGATTTGTATAAATAAATGGTGTTACATGTAAATTTTGTAAATATTCAAATGAAATATATTCTGATATTTCATCTTGCGTGAAGTATTGAAAGATATTTCATTAGGATAATTATTAAAATTTGTTTTTATATGATTAGAGAAATTGATGAAGATGAAGATTGAAAATTCAATTTTGATGTCATTTATTATTTCCACCTATTTTGTCCGTTTACATACTTACTTCTACGTTAACGCGCATAAAAAATTGTTTGATGCCTAGTAATGTCTCGATTTCACTTGCTTATTCTTTCGCTTTTTTTTTTGTCCTTCCAATTAGAATGAAGAACATTAGTAGCACAACTCCCTTGGTTTCTATTGTATAAATGTACATAAAAAAGAGAGAGAGAGAGAAAGAAAGAAAAAAAAATAAAAGAATGCTTTTTTAGAAATGAATAAAATAAAAAGAAAAAACGAAACACTTTTTTTTTTCTCTTCCTACTTTTAGTAATTGACGACGATCACGAAAAAAAACAACCAGCATTAGTTCATACGAAAGACGTTGAAATGTCTGATAATATAAAGAAAAATTTACGTGTTTATAATGAAGAACAATTAATAAAAATGCTTGCTGATATATCACCACATAAACCAATAACATTAGCTGAAGCAATAGCATATGGATATATTGATTTAGATGATCCAAAATTAGGTTTATCAAATGATACAATTCAACGTATGAAAAATTTATTTCGTCCATTATTATATGATGATGAATCAACATTAAATTTAATACGTATTAAACGTTCAGGTCAATATTTAACTGATTTTAATCTTAGTGAAACAAATCCATTTGAAAAATTTCATCTATCACAACCATTTATATATCAATTACAACAATCATTTGAACCAACACTTGACTTAAATGAAAAACAATTTCGTTCATTAACTGAAGCTATTTTAAATAATAAAGATGAATATTCTAATTTACAATTCGATATTGGAAGATCATTAATACCAGCTGATGATATGAAAGAATCATCAACAAATGATTTTAGTCAATCTGATTCAGGTTATTCAATGACAACAGCAACATATGAAAGTTTAGCAAGTAAAATTAAAAATGAATTTGAACCAATAAATGAACCAACAACGGATCAATTGAATGAATCGAATAAAGTAAGTTTTTGATTTTCTTTTTATTATTATTATATTTTGATAATAAGATCAATATAAGAGAAATATTAAGAAAAAAATCAATCAATTTTTCCAGAGTATAGGTCAAACTAATAGTACATATTCAAAAGAGATCGTAACAGAAACAGTTCAACAAACAAAAGAAAATTTTGATGATAAAAAAAATGATTTAATACAAAAATCATCAAAATCAAATGTAACAACACCTATTTATATAAAAAAACGTAAATCAACTGGTCGATTTTCTTGTTTTGGAAATAAAAAAGCAAAAGCATCACTAGAACAACAGAATCAACCAATAATAACATCATCAATTACTCTAGATAATAATCAACAAATAAATATTCCTATTCAAGAAAAACCTACAATTGATTATACGATTTTGCCTGATGGTAAACGTATTTATATTGATGTTTTTCGTGATCGACCTGGCCTTGATATGTCATATAAACCAAAAGATTTCGATACTCAATTCGTTCTACCTGTTGTAAGAAGACATTAAAAATCTATTTGCATCTATTCACCTTCTCTGCACGGTTATATCCTTTTTATACCTATTGCTTATTCATCCTTCAAATCAGTTGATAATACATATGTATATATGTTTACCTTGAGCAGATCATATTTGTATGCACATTCATTCCTGATTTCCTTCGACATTCAGTAATTAGTTTACAAAAAAAAAGAGAAGTGATTTTATTCGCACGCTTTTTCTCTGCAGTATTAAATCTTACATTGATTTTTAATTTTTCTTTAGACAAAATCACCAATTGATTATGAAAAATCAATAATACCTGAAAATACAGAATTACAATCAACTACAATTGAACAAAAACCAATTGTACATTTAGAACCACGTTCACCAATAATCGAACCAATAAATCTTCAATCGGAAATAATCGATGAAAAACCAATTGTAAATTTAGATGCACAACAACCAAAAATTGAATCAATTAATGTTCAACCTGAAATTGTTAAACATAAAACAATAACACATTTAGAAGCACGATCACCAACAATTGAACCAATTGATGTTCAATATGAAAAAACATCAATTGTTGTTCCATTAACAAGAAAAACTGATGAATCAACTAGTTCAAAACCAACTATAAATTTACATGGTGCAGCTGTAGATTTACCTGAAATTGAATTAGTTAAACCAGGACCATTACCAACATTACCTATAACAAAAGAAAAACATAAAAAACCAAAAGAATTAGGTACAACTGACAAAACACCTAAAGTTAAAAAATCAACTGGTGGTTTATGTGCATCATGTTTTGGTACAAAAGCAGCTGAAAATAAGAAAAAAGAATTAACATCTAAAACTCTTCAAGCACCAATTGAACAAAAGAAAATAATTGGACAAGAAAAAAAAGATAATATACCATCAACAACAATTATTTCATCAGCACCAACAATTGAATCAATACCAGTACCAGTATTACCAACAAAAACAACAACAACAACAACAACAGATGAACAAGTTATTTTACCTAGTGTCGAAATCGATAAAGTTGAAGAACAAACTACTGGGGTAAATAAATAAAAAGAAAAATTCAACTTAAACATTTCTTTTTTTTTAATAGGATCTTCCAAAATTAGAAGATCGTTTAGGTGCAACTATTGAAAAATTAATAATCACTGAAGAACCACATTATCAATTACCATCCAGCGAGCCTGTGCCGCTACCTGAATATTCAATACCAGAACCAAATACTTATGATACTCCTCGTTCATTGGAAACACCAACTATTGAAACACCAACTATTGAAACTACTCAAACAAATACAGAAGAAAAAGTAAACATTTATTTTTCTAATTTTTCACTTAATATGCTATAGAAAAGTCTTGACAAACGTATCAAACTAATTTTTTATCAGACATATTTTTCTAGAACAAACCTAAGAAGGAATAAAAATCTCTAAAAAAGATGTTATTAGCGCAATCTCTATGGAATTAAAATCTGAAACATAATATAGGTGTTGTTTTTAATCACAAGAAAATTGTTTTATTTTATATATTCTGGGACATATTTCTTCACCATCCGTTTATTTAGTCCTCTACAGATGCAATAAGGAAATAGTTTAATGAGACATTATTTTTACATAGTCTGTAATCGTCTATTAACAACGTCTGTGACATAGAGCAAGGACGTTTCTAAAGTGCTTTTGATGATCTCTAATGTGACGCTTCTTATTTGTTCTTGAAATATTGTCGTTCTCTTTGCTCCTTGGTTTCATTGATTGTATGTGCATGACGTTTTATCCTTCTGTTGTCAACCCTTGCCGCCTTCTTGTTCTTCTTCTTCGTTGTACAGTGACTATGTATCATAAATTATTTTATCGTATCTGTCCTCATATTTAGATTATCTACTTCCTTGATCTCAATATTGCCTCTTTTCTCTCTCTCTCTCACGTTATATACAAGCAATAGATGATATATAATAAATGAGATATTAGATGATTAAATTATGATTATTATCCAAATTCTCAACAGTCCTTTTATATTATGTTTCATAAGAGTTCTTGTAACTTCGTCATTGTGTAAGATCAAATTTTCTTATATGAGAAGTAGTATAAAAAAAATAGTTTTTTTCTAAAAGAGATTGTATAATTTGGTCATTTTCCAATCATAAGAAAAAAATTTTTTTTTCGGCTAAGTTTCTATGTGTACGACATGTTTCGAACAAATAACGTACAAAGAATTCGATTCTTGCAAACGGCTATATAAAAAAAATTCTTACCAAAGCCAATATCGATAGAGGTTTTGATATATTCTTTTTTTGCTCATGTAATCCAACATAATTGAGAAATAGAAATTTTTTGAAGTTGGAAGAATTTCTTTAGAGGTATTTGCTTATATAGTCAAATAGAGTTTAATATATTTGTCAAGACTTTTTCATTACATGCTATTTATTTGATTTTTTGTTTTCTTAAGATTCTTACAAGTGAAATATCTCCTGAAATTTTAACACTCGAAATAAAAAAACCTGTTGATGAAATTATGCCACCAATAGAACAAAAAATTGAATCAACAATAACAACAAAATCAGAAACAATGCCAAATGTTGAAATAAATGAATCAACTAAAAAAGGTTCATATACATTACCAACAAAAAAATCTAAAACTAAAAAATCTAAACAACCAAAAGTTAAAACCGAAAAAAAGCCAAGTCTATTTTCAACATTATTTCGTCATAGTGATCATAAATCTAAAGCACCAACACTTAATTTACCATCAGTTGAACAAGATTTAACACGAACAAAAGAAACACATACAAATACTAAGGTTCCATTACATGCACCAAATATTGATTTACCTAAACTTGATATATCATTACCAAATTATGATCGACCTGAAGTTGATATGACAAGTGGACAAATAAAACAATCATCAGAATTTTCAATACCAGCTGTTGATTTACCACCAATACCGAATTTAAATTTACCCGATACTAATAAATCAACAATTGATACACCAATTGATCCATTAAAAGTTCCAAATATACAATTACCTGAACTTCAATTAACATCAAATGAACAAGAAAATGTTAAATTACCTGAAATACATTTAAAATCTGAAAAAGAAAAATTACCCGACGTTTCATCAACTATTGGTATTAAAGATGATAATAAAATAGAAAATTTACCAACAATTACAGATGGTTTAGCATTAGCATCACCTGTTAATGATATGTTAGCAATTCAAACTGATAAAAAAAATTTTCCGATTGAAACAGATTCAGTAAGATAATAAAGTAATTTTTTTTATTCATTTTCCTTCTTTTTTGTTTTTTGTCTTTTAGCCAATCCCAGATTTACCTAAAATACCTTCGAATGAAACTGAAATTCTAATTAAACCAGAATTATTATCAACTGAACAAAAATATACAACTACAGAAACACATTTTGTACAACCACCAGAATTACCAACAATAATTAATGTAAATTTTTTTTTTGATATAAAGAATTTTTATTATTTAAAATTTTTCTTTTTCTTTTAATTTAGAAACAAACAACTGAAAATTATGAAATTCCACCAAAACTTCCTGATTTTACATTTCAAATGCCTTCAACAGAACCTATTTCAACATTATCAAGAGATATAAGTATATCTCCACCATCATTTGAAAATGAATTACCAACAGATACATCAAGAATAGTTCCAGCTGTTGAAATTTCAACATCACCAATAAAATCTACTAAAAAACAAATTATTGAACCAAAAGTTGAAATTAAAAAAAAATCATCAACACCTGCACTTTGTTCATGTTTTGGTAATAAATCTCAAACACAAAAAGAAAAAACAAAAACAATTGCTGCACCTAAAGCTAATTTACCGGAAGTTAATATACCTAGTCCATCATCAAATGTATCTTCAACATTAAAAACTAAAGGTTCATTACGTGCACCAAGTAATGATTTACCAGCAGTTGATTTAACATTACCTCAAACAGAATCTGTTCGTTTACCAACAACTCATACAACTGAAAAAAAACGACAAGCACCAACAAAACCAATTGTTAATGAAGAAATTGTTTTATCTCGACCAATTGTTACAAGTTCAGAAGTTGTTCTACCTACTACAACAACACCAACAATAGATGATGTTCATTTACAACAAACTGATACTATTCGATCAATTGAAGTTAAAGCTGATGAAGATCTTTTAGTTAAACCATTGACTTTAGAAAAACAAATTGATGGTCAATCATCTATTACTGTACCATCAGTTGTCAATGAAAAACAATTAGACGAACAAATTAATATTCGATCACCAACTGTTATCGAAACACCATTAAAAGAAGAAGTTAAAATTGAATCAATTACTACAACAACTCCTATTGAAAAGCAATCAGTAGAAGAAATCAAAGTATGTTTAACCTTAACTACATGATAATCAACACTCTAGTCTTATTCATTTAATTATATATCAAGATCATGAAAATAAAAGAAACACAGCAGGAGTTTTATAAGCATATATATATATATATATAATGCTTCTAGTCTTTTATTTCTCTTCACGCAAGGATTTCTTTATAAGGATATTCCCCTAATGGAAGATGTGACCTCAACACAACTAAGAACACATATAGAGCTAAGAGCTTGGCATTTTCAATGGTATTTATGTTATATAAAGCATTATATTACTATGAATTAGCTTATGAAAGGATTCTTTCTTGTTGATACTTTATTATAAATATTATCTAAACCAAGGAGAGATAACAATCTAAATAAGAAAAAATCATTTTTTAGCCGGAGAAAATTCTTCAAATTCGATTAAAAGAAAAATGTATATTAAAGTAAATAGATAACAAGATTTTATTAAATAATAAAATATTCATTTTTGAAGTAAACATTCATGAAATTTTATTATATTTTTTTTAATTTTAGGACAAACAAATTGAATCGAAAAAAGTTTCATCATTTGAAATAAAAGCACCAGCATTACATATACCCGATCTTGATTTAGCTGCTCCACCAAAAACTGATGCTTATATATCATCAATAAAACAAGAACAAACAACAACACAATCTCGTTCAGACAGTGGCCTTGAAGCAATAATTTCATCTCATATTCATCCATCATCAACATTTGGTACAATTCAAACAATTGAAGATCTTAATCAACATCCATCACTTAGTTCAGGTTTAGGTAGTGAAATAATTGATAGTGTAACAACAAAAGATAAAACATTACCTGATATTCAACAACAAAATTTAACAACAGAATCAAAAATTGATAATAGTTTATTAAAACATGATTTTACTCGTAAAATAACAATGAATGATGATTTACGTGCTAAATTAATATTTCGACAAAATGAATTAAAAAAATGTTTAGAAACTGAAATATCAAAATCAATTGATGATTTCGATACAAAAAAAGATCAAAAATCATTAAATAAAATTCTTACACATGCTATTGATTTAATTAAAGATAAGAAAGTAACAACATATCCTGAATTAAAACAAAAATTAATTGTTGAACATAAAAATGATGCTTTTATTGTTGATCCTGTTGTACGTTCACTTTATTTTACTATTGAAAATCAAGGGTTAGATAATCTTGATAAACCAGAATTTCCATTGGCTATTCGTGATGTAAGTTATTATTAATGATTTTTCTTTCAGTTGTTGTTTATTATTTGTTTATATTTATTTTAACAGATGGTTCGTCTTCCGGCTAAACAAACATATGAGACAGTAACACACATTAACAAAGATGTAAAAAAGTATGTTATTAAGAAAATCATTTATTTATCATATACTCTGTGAAATACGATCCTTAACAGAAATGTTGAAGTATAGAAGTAGATATTCGTACGCTTCATAGACGTGGTTAAATGATTCTATAACGAAAATCATTCCTTGTCGCATTACATTAATATAAACAGAAGAAATCATTACTTCAAAAATAATAGATTTACTGACGAAAAACAACAAAAATATGTCCAAATAAAAGTTATGATAAACTATTATAATCACAAGGAGATATAATGTATGTGAAAGCATACAGTAAATCATAGTTAAACGAACAAAGATTTCGAATTTAGTGATCTAGATCTAAGTTTAAGTTACTATGTTTGATGATGATAGTTACTGAAATTAGATCTGCTTATGATCTGGAAGTGACATGTTGATGGATGATGCAATAGTCTTGTTCTTAGAGATACGCCTCTAGATTCATATGATTCGAAAGTGATGTACTCTTTTTATTGTTCATATTTTTTTTGTTTGACTTTAGTTATCATTTGTCGTCTTCTGTCCTGTTAAATTTTATTTATTGTTTTTCTTTGTAGTCCCCGTACTTACGAGAGAACTTCTTCAGCTGTTGCTATCCAGTTTTAATGATTTTTTTTGGCTATAAATAAACTCTACAAGGATTCGGATTTGATTAAGTTAGAAGATTTTTTTTCTAGAAGTCCTATGTTTTCGAAAAACTCCTATTTTCGAATTTTTATCTGAAACTCTGCGTATATAGAGAACTCAGTTAGAATAATTTGCTTAAAAAATTTACAAGCTTTGAACAAAATCTCTTCGACATATGAAGCTTTCAAAAAATGTATATCCATGAACAAGAATCTATATCTTGAATGTTTCATATTTCGAAGAGATTTTGTTCAAAACTTCTGAATTTTATGGAAGTTGGTCTAATTGAGTTTTCTATATGCACTAAATTTCTGATCAAAATTTGAAAATATGAGTTTTCCAAAAATCTGAAGCCTGTCGAAAAAAAATTCGATAGCTTAGTGAAATTCAAATTGTTTTGGAGCCTATCTATAGACAAAAAAATCTTTGGAATTAGAAAGAAACAATTGAAGACGTTCCCTCGTTACTTCTGATACTTGCATTTGCTCTTCGCCTAATCTGTGTTTGTCATGACGGAAATTGTAGATAGATGGTCACAGATCGTAAATGAATAACATCTTGTTATAATATAATAACTACTTTATTTCATTTGCGTAGAATTAAGTGAAGTGATGATGAAGAAATGTGTCCAAAAATAGATAGTATAAGACAATTTCCTTATGATTAGTAATAGCAGTTATATCGTGTTTCACATTTGAATCTCGAAGGGATTAGACTAAAAGTTTTTTTCTTCTTCTTCTTATTATTATAGAGAACCAACTCATACATCTCAAGAGCAACCAACAAATCGTTCGTGTTTAACATGTGGTCGTTCAAAATCTAAGCAAAAAACTTCATCAACAATACCAAAACCAACAACAACAATAACACATACTGGTTTACTCGATGAACGTCGTCGTGGACAATTAAATACACATCGTAATGAACTAGGTGATATTTTACGTGCTCATATTCAATCAAGTCAACCATCAATAAGACAATTTCCTGAACATCCAAAAGAAATTGATAAAATAGTTCGTAAAAGTTTAATACTTCTAAATCAACCAAAAATTCTATCATATGAACAAATTCGTAATGATTTAAAAACTGAATATAAACAAACATTTTATCTTGTTGATCCGATAGTTGATATCACACGTGATACATTGGATCATTGTGATATAACACAAATGAAAGAAAAAATAAATCTTGATATATTAGATTCAAATATAACACAAACAGCTAATTTATATAATCAAATATATAATCAATCAAATTTATTAAGTACAGCAGAATATAATTTATTAAAATCTAATCAATTACAATGGTTAAATCAATATTTAATTGATAATGAATTAAAAATGAAAAAATTAACACGAAAACAAACAAAAGAATTACATAAAATATTAAATCGTACATTAGATTTACTTTCATTAAATTTAATATATACATGGGATGAATTAAATGCACAATTACGACGTGAATTTCCTAAAGCACATGATTTATGTGATCGTTCAATTGAATTAATAAAACAAGCACAAAAAGATGGTTTATTATTATTACAACAATCACCAAATACAAATCAACAAGATTTAACATCAATTAATGTTATAAGTGCTAATGGAAAACGACGTGCATCATCATTATTAACTGAACGTGCAAAACAAAATATTCAAACAAATCGTAAAAAAATTATTTCATCAATAACAAATTTATTATATGATTATAATAAACCATTATATAATGAAAATCAAATTGAAACATATGTTAATAAAACATTTCATTATTTAGAAGAAAAAAAAATTGGAGAATTTAAAACTTATAATGATTTAAAAGATAGATTAAAAAAAGATTTTAAACATAATCATGAAAAATTAATTGAACAAATTGTCGATATTATTGAACAAGCACATGCTACCAATCAATTTGATGATATTGATAAACCAGAAGTACAAACTTTAATGAAAGATCGATTAGATGGAAAACGTAAATTTTTTATTAAAAAAAAAAAACCAAAAAAAATTCTCATTATCTATTTTTTTTTTAGCTTTAGTTATTAAAGAAATGTATGTTTCATTACCACCACGTACAGGTACTTATGGAACATCAAAATATACAAATGATGAATCTTCACGATATTTATCAACATCAATTAATGGTGATCAAACAATGAATAGTAGTACATCATCACATCGTGTTGCTCGTGGTCTTAGTTGGCGTGAAGCAAATGAACGAGCTAGAATTTTATTTTATCGTGGTAAACATCCAGCTATACATTATGATGAACAAGCAGCTGGTTTTGATGTACGAATGTTACTTGAAACAACATCAGGTGGTACACAAGAAATACCTGTTACAGACAGTGATGTAAGATTTAGATTTGGGTCTTTCTTTCTCTAAGTCGACATTTTGCCGCTTCTGTTACGGTAGCGTAAATTATTTAGGAAGAGGCGTGTGAAGCCTGCCTGCTTCTGGAATCCGTTCATACAACGTATTGCCTGCTTTTGAAAATTGTTCACGCAGCACCTTTTCTGTCTGGAACTCAATGACTCTGTACCTTCCCCTCCTTCATAGTAGCGCGTGGAGGAAAGATTTCTTAGCAATGGAAAAAGGCACTGAATGGCATTAACAATAAGATTTAGACTGTTCTAGAATATTCGAAAGCCTTATCAGTGTTTCTAAGTTCAGTATGTTAGAACATGTGTGGAGATATAAATGATGTGTACAACAGACTTATTTACCAGTTAAATCAATAGCTAGAATAATAAACGATAACTAAAAATAAAAAGTGAATAGTAATAATGCAAACAAACAAAAAGTGCCAGTAAAACAAAACCTCTGTTCGAAATAAATAAGACAGATCGTTTCCTCAGCCTTCGATTATCCTTAGAAAACCAATTATAGTCTGCGGGAGATTTTTTACTTAACGTCTTTTGTATTAGCATATTTAAGTTAAAGGACACATGTGAATTCCACAATTTAGCTCCAAATAAGCTGTGCTAGAGTCCTTTTGGACAAACATTTTTCGAGTGCCGCATCCTCTTTGTCCAATCGCGAATATTCCGCAGGACTCTAGGCTTTGATGAAAAGCTTTTTTAATCATAAAATTATATATGAAAATTCTTGGTATATATATTTGGTTTTTTTTAATTTAAGGTTCATGAATTATTGAATTCATGTGGTGTTCAATGGGATGGTGTTAATATAATATCATTAGTTGATCATAGTGAAGATGTTGTACGTGCTGCTGAACAAGCTGCATTAAAAGTAATACGTGAAAAAGGTCTTGTCGATTTACGAACACCACCACCAACAAGAAATACAGATGATAATGATGAACCCTTATCATCATAAACATTCATTTATTTGTTTTTTTTTCTTTTTTGTTTTCTTATTTTGCTTCTCTTTTTTTTTTCTCTATTTGATGTTTTAAGCATCATTTCTCTTGTGCTGACTAATTCCGCACGATTACATATCTCCTACGCCCTCTCGCTCTCTCTCTATTACACACATACGCATATATTGACATATTTGGAAAAAAAAAACTATATTAGACAACTTTTGTTTGTTTTGTTCTTGTTGTTGTTATTATTATTTCAGTAATTCTTTGATGAAAAAGGAAACAAAACATTGTCTTCTTATTTCTCTTTATTTCTTTTTTTTCTCTTGTCGCACTATACATAACATGTATTTAGTCATTTGCGTTTGTGTGTTTTTTCATAAAAGAAAAGATGTATCGTCATTGTCATTTGTCTCTATGTGAAAATAAAGAATACGTTCATTTTTGGAGAATGATGCAGTTAGAAGTCTTAAATTAACATTGTTTTATGTAATTCATATATAAAAAAGAGAGAAAAAGAAAAAAAAATAATAAGGAAGAAAATGAACACAAAAACAACGAGAGAATAAAATACACACGAACATTAGTTTTGTGTTGAAAATATTTTATTTCTTTTGTAGCAAAAACAAACCGTTCGAGAAAAACAAAAGCATATCACGACGATGCTGGCTGACAGGTATTGTTAGCTGGAGGAGTTCGAGAAGAATCAGATGTATCATCTGTTGATGAACCAGAAGATAAAGCAGCTAAATTCGTATGAGTTACTTGTTGTTTTTCACCAGCTAAATCTTGCCATTGTTGAAGGTTACTTCTGAAGAAAAAAAACCAAACACAAGTTATTAGAAGAAAAAATTTTCTTTTCATATTCATTAATACTTGGCTCCACTGAGCATTGGCATAGCCTCTGGCAAAACACGTGCTATTAATGAATAGCATGGTATACAGATGCTTTTCATAAAATTCACCTGAAAAACAAATTATAAAGAAATTTATTAGATATTAAATAAGAACATGTTTCATATGAGTTTTAATCTCAAAAAATGATCATAGTCTGAGTATTAAAACTTCGAACGGTAATATATATCGAAAGTACTCAATATCATAAGCTGCGGAATCATAATGTCTGAGTAGACTAGTACCAGGACAGGTAAAAGAAGGAAGAGTATTCTTGCCTTTCAGTTATCTTGCGGTATTCAGTGCTGCCTAGTAGCAGATTCAATAGCACGACATATTCTCTACAACTAATACTAGCTGTAGTTCTGTACAGAAGATTGATCTGACGCAGGGTTCTTGCGTTCAATTGCTTGAGCCCTCCGTACACACTAACTAACCACAAGAGCAGGTGTATGTGTCACAATGTAGTCAGCATGCTATTGAACGAGTCATCTGAGACAAACAGCCATTAGTAACTTGTTTAAGGACATTTCATAGATGGTGGTACTGAGATTTGCATACAATACCTTGTGGATACGTATCGAACAAAGCCACTACTTAGTCATGATGGCTGGATAGATAAAGACTTGGGTAGGCTCGAATCTACCTTATATACTACCAACTCGTATTCAATAAGCATTTAGGGGACGAAGCTGTAAGGCTTGGGAAAGCGAAAGCCTATCTTGGATTCATGTTTCATAGGCTAGGATAGGCTTAAACACTTTTCTTCTTCCATCAAATTGATAGATTTGAGCTGGGCATCACGTTTTTTGTACAAATGACAATAGTTTTTGCCGTCTCCAGCAGCTAATGGTAACATTTTCTTAATCAAGTAGACGTAGAAAACATTTTTAAGGAAACATTGAAGTAAATATTGGATCATACACCTTCAATGAATTGAAATGCAGTTCTTTCATTATAAAGGACGTAGTACTGTACGAAAAATCTGAGTTAGATTAGCTGGAATCTGCTAAAATTTTCTTTCATCTTTAATCACTAAAGTTATAGGTCAATTAAACATTTTCAACAGTGAAGAAGCTCGAAATGCAGCATCCTTTTCCTATGAAAAATTTCTTCGCCATTAAATTTTTTTCCAGTAAAACAGATCAGAATCTTTGTTTTCGACAGTTGCATTTTGATGAATATAAACATTCGCATGTTTTTTTCACACAACTTGTGAATTTTTTTATCTTCATCGCTGTTACACCTTGCAAAATGTGAGTTCAATAGAAGATATATTTTATCTATGTGACATCCAAAAACTCGTCTTCTCTCATTTTTAACTTCCACATGAAGATTTTATAAAAAAAATGTTGAGCCTACTCTAGAATCAAAACATTCTGGTGACTATGCATAATATACTATAGTCTTTTATCATTTTCCTCAAAATAGTGATCTCATTAGATCAGTTTTATTCTTAAGGTGTAAATAGTAGTTGAAGGAAAGATTGCGAAGATTTCGGACGTGAAATTCACTGTTATCCTCTCAAAAGCATATTTGTGTCAACAATTTAAGTCCTCCTCTTCCCTCAAAAATCGATCTTAAGCTGGGTGAATTCAAATCGTATGGATTTTTTTGAGAGTATATCAGGTCTGTAGCCGAAAGGTAATGCTAAAATTTTCAGCTCTATACCATAATGTTTTCGGGAGATATTCAACAAACAAGGATAAAAAGTAGTTTATGTATTCTCTGTGATCCCTCATTGTGTAGATTTAATGCTATTTTTATTTGAAACAACATGCCTGATTGCACGGCCTGGCAAAGTTCTGTTTATTAAACTCTTATATTTTATGCGGCTAAAAGAAGATGACAATTTCAACACCTCGAAATACACTCAAAATAAATGGCACTCTAATTTATAGAAGTGTTTTATTTATATAATAATAATAAAAGAGCTTAGTTCAAAAAATAGACACTATCAGGCAGTGCAACTTCACATACACTTTCAAACAAAAAGAAAAAGACGCAATTAGCTACAATTAAGCTCCTTCAAAAATTCTATCGCGCGCGATCGAAAAAAGTGAACAAAATTTCCAAGCAGAAAGTGACTTAAACCATCAAAACTTTCGATAAAAAAACAAGATGACAAATAAAAAAAAAACATTTCATTTATGCAAAAACAGATCTCGGTCTATCTTCTCATATATTCATCTCAATTTCGATTTTTCTAACGAAAAATTGGCATTTTTTCAATTGAGAGATTTTTGTTAATTTATTTTTATCATAAGAGAACTGATTGTCTTTAAGAAAAAGACAAATTACCTGATTTTTTGGTAATTCATGTGCAAGTGATCGATCCATTAATGATTGTGGTTGAATACCTTTACGTTTTTCTTCATCACCCTATACGAAAATAAAATATAATAATAAAAATTAAAAAAAAAACCACCAAAACTCTCTCTCTCTCTATTTTTTATCAGTTAGTAGAAAGCAGCAGTTACAAATACATATAAAAAGCACACCTCTTCCCAAAACTCGTCCATAATAACGCTGACAATATTTTGTTGTATATGCCAAGGTTTATACATGGCGCATAAGTCGGCAGATGTCATTGATAACGATTGCAAGCGTCGACTGGAAGCATAAAACACATAAATACAGACAATAGAGCATCCAAGTACAATGAATTTTTCTATGAGTGCAATGGAAAAGATTCTTTTGGGGATTTTTTTGTACATAGAAATAAAAAAATAGTTAAAAAGAATAAAAGTTTTCATTAGCCATTTCTTCCTCTCCTCATGTAATGTGCTGGTGGTGATAGTGCATGTGTTACTACTGACATGTATTTCAGTTAATAAGTGCTGCTTTCTGGTGAAATATTAATAAATATACACACAGAGAGAGAGAGAAAAACAAAGAAAGCATTGAGTATTATGAAACAATGAAATCACCTGCAGAAAGAATTCTTCCATGATGATGCTCACATTCGACCGCTGCACTTCCCATTGTTTATATGAAGAACATAAATCAGCAGCGGTCATACTGAGCCCCATCAAGTATAGCCTATAGATAAAAGCACAGCAATCAGAAGAATAATGTGTGAAATAAAATAAAATAAAAAGGAAAAAACGTGTATGTTACTCATTATCTAGTAAATGCTTCATTTTTTTTTCTTTGTTATAGCTTTGTTCACAAGTGTCAAACTATGGTAAGTGTATGGTGTGTGAGTGTGTGTGTGTGTATGTACAAATTTCATACACACTCAAAAAACTAATGACACAAGAAATAGGCACTATCACCACATGAACACAATTAGCAACAGAGGATTAGAGGAAATATAAGAAAAACAAAAGGTGACCAGTAGTGGCAAATTTTGAAAAAAGAATTAATTTTTTGTATTTTTTTTTGTGATGGTCATAATATGGAAAGTAGATCCATGTAATAACTCACAAATGTTCCTTGTTATTCCAATCGAATTCATTATTATTAACAATACGTTCAAGTTTCGGACGATTTTCAAAAAAAAGTGCCAAATCAGTAGCTAATATACAATGACGAATTTCATCTAACATTTGTCGATATTCTTTCGAAGAAAAATGTTTAAATATATTATGACTTTCAGTCTAAAATAATTAAGTAAATAAAAAACAAAATGAAAAAGAAAATTAAACTAATTCTTTATTTGAAACAAGTTATTTTTTCTTACTTGAAGTATTGTGACTGTTTGATTAAAATGATGTCGTTCCATAGTTGAAGTTGTATAAATTGAAGCTAATGTGGATGCACTTTTTACCATAAAAGCATTTGTTTTACCACGATGATCAAGATCATGACAAAGACAAGCAACAAACAAAGCAATACACTAAACATAAAAATTTTCTAATTTATGATTGGATAGTTTTGCGTCAGTATTTTGAAACTGCATCGAATTTGACACTGTAAGGTGATAGAAAAAAGTTTAACAACAATGTAGTTTTTATTTTATTTTTTCTATAATATGAAGTAATTAGTTCAAATCCAGATAGTGATTGTAATAACCAATCGAGTTTTCTATCTTATACATTCTATACTATGATTTCATAGATGGACTATGATGGCAAGGTTTCTAAAAAACCGAACACGGTAGTTTTCAGATCCGAGA